CAGACACTTCTCAAAAGAAGACATTTATGCAGCCAACAACATATGAAAAAAAACTCATCATCACTGGTCGTTAGAGAAACGCAAATCAAAACCACATTGAGATACCATCTCACGCCAGTTAGAATGGCAATCATTAAAAAATCAGGAGACAACAGATGCTGGAGAGGATGTGGAGAAATAGGAATGCATTTACACTGTTGGTGGGAGTGTAAATTAGTTCAAACATTGTGGAAGACAGTGTGGCAATTCCTCAAGGATCTAGAACTAGAAATACCATTTGACCCAGCAATCCCATTTACTGGGTATATACACAAAAGAGTATAAATCATTCTATTATAAAGACACATGCACATGTATGTTTGTTGCAGCACTGTTAACAGTAGCAAAGACTTGGAATCAACCCAGATGCCCATCAATGATAGACTGGATAAAGAAAATGTGGCACATATATGCCATGGAATACTATGCAGCCATAAAAAAGGATGCATTCATGTCCTTGGCAGGAACATGAATAAAGCTGGAAACCATCATTCTCAGCAAACTGACACAAGAACAGAAAACCAAACACTCATGTTCTCACTCATAAGTGAGTGTTGAACAATGAGAATACATGAACACAGGGAGAGGAATATCACATACTGGGGTCTGTCAGGGGGCAGGAGGCTAGGGGAGGGATAGCAGAGGGTGGGAGGATTGGGGAGGGATAGCATTAGGAGAAATACCTAATGATGGGGTAATGGATGCAGCAAACCACCATGGCACATGTATACCTATGTAACAAACCTGCATGTTCTGCACATGTACCCCATAACTTAAAGTAAAATAAATAAATTTTAAAAAGAAAACATATTCTCATCATAACCTGTTCGTGGATGTTTATACCAGCTTTATTTATAACTGCAAAAACTTGTAAGAAACCAGAATGTCCTTCAGCAGATGAGTGCATATGTAAATTAAAGTATGTTCAGGCAATGAGATATTATTTAGCACTTTAAAGAAATGAGCTATTAAGCCATGAAAAGACTCTACAGGGTTTTTGTAGTGAGGAGGCTGTGTGTATATGAGAATAGGGAATACAAGAGAAATTTGTGTACCCTCTGCTCTATTTTACTGGAATCTAAAACCATTCTTAAAAAAAGATAATTTATTTGAAAAGAATAGGAAATTAAAATGGCATTCTAGAAAATGCCCACTTAACAGAAAAGAAGGCAGGAATGGACAAACATAGGAACACAAAAGGCATAATAAGATATATGGTAAACAAATGGTAAAATAGCAGCTTTTTGGAACTAGTATCAATAATTACATTAAGTATAAATAGATTAAATACTCAAATTAAAAATCAGTGATTAGGAGGTTGGATTAAAAAGCATGATCTAATCATTTTCTCTCTACAAAATATGTACTTTAGATTCAAACACAAAAATCGTCTGCTTTTCTGGTAATGGGGTTACAAGCCGATAAACCTATCATATATTCAAAATATCATAAGTCAAAATACATTTAATACTCTTAACCTTCTAAACATTATAATTTAGCCTAACCTACCTTGCATGTGCTCAGAACACTTACATTAGCCTATGGATAGTAAAAGAGCAAAATTCAAAATTTGATGTATGGTTTCTAAGGAATGTATGTTGGTTTTGCGTCATCATAAAGTTGAAAAATTTAAATCATCGCATCATAAGTTGGGGACTATCTGTAGTTTGGAAGTAGAAGAGTAAAAGATGAGAGACCTTGCAAATACTAACTGAAAGAAAACTCAAGTAATTATACAATACCAGACAAAATAGACTTTAAAACAAAAATCGCTACTAGAGAAAAAGAATATTATATAATGATAAAAGGGTCACTCTATCGAGAAGAGACAACAGTTACAAATATCTATACCCCTACCATCAGGGCCACCAAATACAGGAAGCAAAAGCTGACAGAATTGAAGGGAAAACAAACAATTCAACAATAGTAGCTGGAAACATCAACACTTCATTTTCAATGATGAATAAAACTAGACAGAATATACACAAAGAAATAGAACACTTGAACAATACACATAAACTAACAGACATCTGTAGAACTTACCCAACTAGAATAGAATACACATTCTTCTCAAGTGAATATAGAACATTCTCCAGATCATATATGAGTCCCAAAAAAGTCTCAATAAGTTTAAAAGCATTGAGTAATACAAAATATGTCATCTGACCATAATAGAATAAAATTAGAAATCAATAGCAAAAGGAAATTTGATAAATTCACAAAAAGGAAGAATGTTTTAAAATATTCTTTGACTTTTTGAGTCTAAAATCTAATTGGGAACTTAAATAGTTTTTAATATAGTATAAATAAAGAGATGCTGCTATTAATATTTTTGAATAATATTTGTGTCCTCGATTTCTATCTTTCTCCCTAGTGCTGATGTAGAAGAATTATCCCTGTATCTGGGATCCCTTCTGTCATTATCTAGGAGTTCTCCTTGAAAAAAGAAACTATACCCTGACCAGTGCCAATCACTTTAGCCTTCTGTTTACACGCTGTTCTTTACAACAAAACTGTAAACATCATTTTCAAATTGTTACTCAATAGATGCAAGATTATTATGTCAATTGAACATTCAAAGGAATATTCTACATAGCAACTCCCCAAGTTAAACTCTTAGCCAAAAACTAAGTGTTTTCACCATTCAAATAAGAAAAACTCCTTCTACCAAAAGATTCTAGTCATTTTCACTTACTAAGTACTTATTATGTATATCTTTTTCTAAATACCATGGGGATTATAGCAATAAATGAGATTCAGATTCTGCCCTCAGCAACCTTGTGGTCTATTAGACAGATGGTGGTAGTCAGACAAGTACACGAATAACCTCAATTACATGCAAAATTTAATAAATGCAATAATTAAGGCACAAAAGTCTACAGTGACTTAAAAAGGGAATTGTTACATCTAATTAGAGTACTTAAGAGAGGCGTCTTACAAAGTTATAGTTCTCAACATTGGCTTCTTATTAGTATCACACTGGGAGCTTTAAGAAATCTTGATGACCAGACTTTGCCACAGAGCAAACAAATCAGAATATCTCATGCAAGTGGCCTGAACATCAGAATTTTTTAAAGCTCCCTAGGATGTGCAGCCAAATTAGAGAACCATTATTATAAAAGATGGGTAAGAAGAAATAGAATTGAACAATGGTTAAGGTTTCAGTTGAAAGGGGACTGGATACTAGAGCACTTGAAAAAACCCTTACTTCCATATAGCTAATATATTTTCATTCTTCAAACCTCAGCTCAATTAAAACATTCCTTAAAAGCTTTTCCTGACTCCTCCAATGATAGTAATAATTTCTTAATAATGGTAATGAAAGCTGAAACTTTTCACTGCCCCTTGCTTTGCTGTATGCCACGTACCATTCTAAACACTAAATAAATATCAATATATAGTGTTCCCAATAACAGGAGATAGATACTATTATTATATCCATTTTACATGAAAGGAGGGTAAATAACTCACCAAAGTTATACAGCTAAGAAGTGACAAAGTTGGCATTCAAGTACAATGGCTCCAGAATCCCTGTTTTGAAACACAACCAACTGTAGTCTGATGTTCCTTATCAAGCCCCACATAGAACACAAATATACCTCCATCATACCATGAAATCATTATATTGCAAAGGTTTATGAGATTTTTCTCTTCCACTAGTCATTCATTCATTCATTTAGTTAACAATTACTGAGCACAGTTTGTGCCAGAAATTGTGCTTGCTATCAGAAATAAAAAAAATCACATGTTCATATTTCATGTCAAGGAGTTTTAGTCTATAGCAGAGGTCAGCAAACTACAGTTGATGAGTCAAATCCTGCTGGTCACCTTTTTTTTAAAATAAAGTTTTATTGAGTCATAGCATGCTCACTGGTTTATGTATTATCCAGAGCTGCTTTTGTGCTCCAACATAAATAGCATAGTGAAATAAGTGTGACAAAGAACCTCTGGCCACAAAGCCTAAAATATTTACTATCTGGCTCTTTATAGAAAAAGTTTGCCAACATCCAGTGTAAAAAATATGGCAAATAAGAAAATCATCAATGACTATCCAATGAGGTGTATGGTATGAGGCCCAAGATACCATGGGAACACAAAAGAGAGAAATCTAGATTAGGTTAGAGGGTCAGCAAAAGTGTTCTAGATGGCATGAAATTTGAGCTAGTTTTGGAAGGCTGAGTAGAGTCAATTAGATAAAAAGACCAGGCAGACTTTCCAGTAATATTAGACATGGAAAGTCAACAGTGATCCAAGGGACTAGAGTAATGACAGTTGGAATAGCAAAGAAGGTAGATATGCTTAAATGATGTTACTTAGTTCTACAGAATTTATGAAAATATATCTTTGATTTCTTAGTTCTCATTATTTAGCCTAATTAGTGATGTATATAGTTGAAACTCACTAAATGTTTGTTAACCAAAAAGATTAATCTTTTTTTTTTTGAGATGGAGTTTCGCTCTTGTTACCCAGGCTGGAGTGTAATGGTGCGATCTCGGCTCACTGCAACCTCCGCCTCCTGGGTTCAGGCAATTCTCCTGCCTCAGCCTCCTGAGTAGCTGGGATTACAGGCACGCGCCACCATGCCCAGCTAATTTTTTGTATTTTTAGTAGAGACGGGGTTTCACCATGTTGACCAGGATGGTCTCGATCTGTTGACCTCGTGATCCACCCGCCTCGGCCTCCCTAAGTGCTGGGATTACAGGCTTGAGCCACCGCGCCCGGCCCCAAAAAGATTAATCTTAAGTAAAAAGTAAACATCTTTCACGTTAAAAAAGGAGAAAATAGTTGCCATCCATTCGTTCTTTATCAGACTATAGTAATGTCAGACTATAATAATTCTGGATTTTTTCACTCATTATCCTCGAGTGAAAAAAGACCTCTCTTTTCTTGCTTTCAGTTGTATAGATATATCTAATATTAATATAGTTGCACAAATAATATGTCATTGCAAAACACCGTACCTGGAAAATTCATAGGCAGTTCAAATGGCTGTAGAGACTCACAACCTTCAATGTGTTCACAAATTTCAGCTATGATCTTCTTAATTTTGAGACCAGTAATTTTAATCACTTCTCCTGTCGAGAAACAGCATTCATTTCCAAACATTTCATAAATAGAGCCTAAAAGGAAAGAAAAATTAAAACAGATGTTTAAAAAGAAAACAGTAGAGAACAAAGAAGACTCAAGCTTCATATAAAGTGTTTTAATTCAGTTTCTCTCTTAGCTACCTGCTAAACAGGAATTTAATCAAGCTTGGCGAAATGTACCGCATGGACGAGAAAAATATTAAATTTTCACTTTATCCACTGGACCAAGTATAAATAAATCTTATTTTCTTTATTTTTGTAAACTGAATTTATGGTTTATTCAGCACCCTCAGTTCATCTTACCAAGGTCAAACTACAAACATATCATCTGTTACTGAGATTTATGATCTGTTTTTGCTGGGTCACAAAATTAAGCTCATATGACTCAAAAATGATCAAAGTAACGACTGCAAACAAGGTTGTCATATAATCAGGGACAAAAAGAGGGTCTGCACACCAAGGCTTCATATTAAGAGGATCATATTTATTTATTAGATCTGGTTCTCTTTATTAGCATTAAAGTAAAACTTTTTGCCCAGTTTTGTCGCTTGGTTTTTGACAAGCTGGAAACCATTCTGAATATTTTTATGGCAATAGGGGGCAGACCAACCCAGATAAACTGAAAAGCTTCGATTTAGTCAGGATTTCAGTTTCCTTCTTGACAAATCTTTTATCATAGATGCTACTGCTAAGTTTTCATTCACTTATTTTCCTTTTATATTCCCTGATGGAAGGACTGTGAGGAATAAAATAACCAGAAGATGAGCAACAGGCAAGAGCAGAAGCAAAAATTCTGGATAATCTATCCTCAGTGAAAGGGGGAAAACCCAAAAACTGTATCTCTGGCATATTATTGCTTTACAATCCAACACTAAACTTCAGGCTGGTATAAATAAACATTATAGAACTGTGGGCTTTAAAATATATCAATTTTTCCTGACCTCCAAGATGGTTTATGTTGTCTTTGCCATACTAAGTGTAAAGTATATGAGCACAGGGTTTTAGGTTTCCTTGTTTGTTTTCTGAATTTTTCTGTATCGAACCAGTTCCTCATAGAATTGTTCCTGATATACAGCATGCACCTAAAACATTTTTATGGCATTCATGGTTGTCAGAAAAGTTATTAAGACTGGCATCCAATCTAGCTCTGAACAACAATTCTGGGGTCATATCAGAGTCCCAATAGGTAACAGGGCACACTCAAATTAGAATAATTTCAGGAGGTTTATCACAGGGGCCATCTTTAAAAAGAGGCACAGTTCTAAGCAGCCAAAGAAAATAAATGTCCTGACCTCACTCTTATCCCATTAGCCAAATTCTGCCAGAAGACAGAGGATGAGGGAGCTGCTAATGTCCCCACAGAAGTCAGCCTCCCAGGCAGAGTGGATATGAAAACCCAGCACACACACTACTGTCCATATCTAAGTAAGAAGCATTTTTGCAGACAAGAAGAATACGTCCAAAGAATACATCTTAAGGATAGTCAGCAATTCCTCAATGTTTGAGTATATATTTCCATAACCCTCTCCTTTTCTCATACGATTCCCTTATCTACATATGTGCTCACACTTTCATTAACTTCAATGCAGAGTGTTATCAGCAGGCTCAAGTCCTTTGTGGAACAAATTGAGGTATTAAAAATATTAATAAATCCACAGTGACATTTTCCTCCAATGGACTCAGAATGGTTATTTGCTATGATCCTCATTTGGCAATTAATCACATACTAACATTTTATATCTTTAGTATTATCTCACCTTGTACTTAACTTTTTATGAGTTTTAGTTTTTATGACTCCCAATTCAATTTTAAACTTCATGAGAAGAAATATTGCATTACATTCTTGCATGACTACAACACATCAACTTCCCCTCTTCATTCATTCAGCAAACTTTGATTTAAAAAAACAAACCTACTATGTTGGTGATTGGCAATAGGAATCAGAGATAAAATACATTACTTCTTCTCCCCAGAAGCATTATCTTAAAGGGAAAGAACAATCAAGCAGACAATTGCAACAGATTATGAGAAAGGTGTAATAAAGGAAATACAGGGCATTATGGGAGTATACTAACGGCATTTAATTGTGCAATTACATGAAAAAGAGATCAGAAAAGAATTCCTGGAGGAGAAGACAGCAGATCTGAGTTTTAAAGGAAGAGTCACAGGACGCCAGGACAGGCAGAGGAAATAGTATTGGAAAAGGCACTGAGATGTGAAAGAGCCCAATACATTCTGGAAACTTCAAGTTCTTTGTCATATCTAAAATGTAAAGTAAGAAAGAGGAAGTGGTAAAAACAGAGACTAGAGGAGTAGAGGGAGTCCAGATCGTTCAAAGCAATCATGAAATTATCAAACAAAAAAGGCAATTCAAAGTATGAAGCAACCTCAAAGTCAGAGAATCTACATTTCCAGTTATATTGGTCCAAGAACACATTTAAGGACAGATCATTTGTACTCTAAGTGTTTGCTATATGAATCTTGGTCCACTGCATCACCTGAGAGCTTATTAGAACCTTAGACCCCAGACCCACTGAATCAGAACCTGCATTTTTAACAAGATCCCTAGATGATTTATAAGTTTATTAAGGTTTGTGAACATTGGCATAGGCAACAAATGGATAACAAAATAGTCTCTGTTTTGAAATTGTTGCAAAACTAACAGAGAGGGAGAAGCGATAAGCAGAGAAAGCATTGGGGGTCATTGAGGTAGACAGAGGATGCTGTAAGTGGAGAGGGAAAGGGAAGGATTTTAAGTAAAAAAGCAAATAGCAAATTTTTTCTTTGCACATTAAATGGAACATAATTTAACCTAGCCCATTTCAGGTGAAGTCTGTCAGGGCTGATTTCATTGCAATGGACATCTAATTGTTGATGTAATGTATATCAAATTGGCCAAGTTGGAATGTCATCTTTCTTTTAAAGGTTCAATTGGAATTCAAAATGAAAAGATAAATTTGTCTGAGATTTCATATCAGTTCACATGGAATGGAAGCCAGAGAATTCTATAAAAAGAAGTTTCATGGGTTTCAGTCACCATAAGCTTTTGACTCCTCAGGTCTTTTTCCAAGCAAGTCTTTCCTTTTGGAAGAAAAAAGCTCACTTCTTTCAGACACATAAGGAAAAGAGTATCATGTAAATGCTAATCTTTTACAATTTCCCTTTAATATTTTGTGACTTCCAGTTTTCTTCAACCAAGAAACCTATACCTTGTTTTTAATAAAGAAAGTGTTCAGAGACATTCAGCACTAGAAAGTTATGTCTATGATAGGTGACAGGGACACAGAGCAAAGCTCAAGTCGCTAAAACTGGAAATCTTGTACTTTGTTATCACCAATATAGTGTGTCTTAAAATATATTTTTTCTTTCGTGATAAATGGTGAATTTTAAAAATAGCCAACTTTCATTATCTCAAAACAAACACATAATATGTGTAATTGCATTTCAAAAAATTGCTGAGATGTGTGTCTGAAATATATCTGTGTATATGTAGACACACATATTAAAATGGCTTTCGTTTCATTTTAACCATAAAACATGTATTTTGAATATGCAAATCTCAAATCTATTAAATCTTTACAAACTGATTCTTTCCAAGTCAGAGCATATGTATTTGGGATAATGCCAAACATCAGAGAAAGCTGGAACAAAGCAGCCTGTTTTCAGTGATCAAACATAGCCCCTGAAGGCTGTAATGAAAGAGCCATGTGCCTTTGAAATCACCTTCTCTGTAATGCTACTTTGCTCAATAAAAACGACACATTAATATCCTTTTATGAGCTCATCCCTTGTTTGACAACCCATATAGCAATGCTGTGATCACATCAGAACAGCCAAAACAGTTGGTTCAATAGATTTTCTTCCATCTTCCCTACAAAGTTAAAAATGTGTGACAGTCAGCAAAGAGGAAACTGTATTGGATGTTTTTCCCCTTTACTCAAATGCACTCTCCCTCCACTACTGCCTGCCCTCCCACCCCCTACCACTATACCAGGCCACTCATCCCTTTACATCCTCATCAACGTGTCAAAGTCCAACCAATTCCAAAGCTTCAGCTCATATTCATCATTTGCTTCAAAGCCTTCCTTGATTCCCACACCTAAGTAAGAATTAATTCTCTCCTCTGTGCGCTGATAGCACTTCATGCATACCTCCATTATAGCCCTTATGTGATTATTATCCCTGCTTCAATTGTGGTATTATGTATATTTTAGTATTATGATTTTCTAGAGAAGAGACATTACCTTAATTATATATATACCTCCCCCACAGCTAGTTACACAATTTTTATCACTTGTTAGATTGTTAGTGAATGTTGTTATAAATTAGCTTTACTGTAAAATGATAATTGTTGTGAATATAATAGTGGTTCTTCTACATAAACAGTTTAAAGCATGGTCAAGACAAAGGTTTTTGCATTGGTTATATCTTTATTTGGTATGATTGACATCAAATATGCAAGCAAAGTATATACAAGCTGACCATGTTGTGAATTCCCTAGACAAGGAGTAATGGGGGTAGTGGTTCTACAATCTGAATCTCTATTGTTAAGTTTGAATGAGGAGGGAGCTCATGTGATCATCTGAGATAAGATTTTTGTAAGTTAGGAAATTACTTCTGCAAAATATGGTCGATAGTGTCTGATAGAACCATATCCACTGGGGTTGCCTGTGGAGATGCACCTTTGCTCATTGTAAATAGGTGTGATTACTTTTTGCTTCAGGATAGCACAAATTATCAAGAAGGGGCATCCCTCTAAAGAAAATGTTTAAGAGTAAAACTGTTTTATTGGCAATTGTGTACCTAGACATGGCAGTTAATACGGCATTGAGACTGTTATAATGATAAATTCAGTTTTCCAAATGAACTTCTAGAGAGTCGACCACAGGAATGAGGTTTGAAAGACTATGGTTGCAATTGATAGTTATATGGTCAGTCTTCCATAAAGAGATGGTCTGCTTTTCCTGTAAGGCAGAGACAGTGTCATTCCCACTCTATGAAGAATGTGTCTAAAAATAGGTGAGCATGATATT